GAAAATAAAGAAAACTATGCCATAGAATGATGTTAATGACTAAAAATTGGTTCTATACCCATGGTCCATCATTGCATCTCAACAAAGAAGGAATGTGTTCCAGTATCAGTCACTGGGAACCAACATTAGTTGCTGCATTTGTTCTAAACTGCTTCATTTTAGTTTTATCTTTATTTCTCTTTTTATGATCATTATATTTATTGTTTTTCTAGCACTAGATTTTTGGTTTTTGCCCAGCATCAATACATCCAAGTGCTTCAGTTTCCTTCTATTTGCCAATCTTTATACTATTCCATTATATCCCTATACCACAATTCACTTGCCAAAAGTTTTGTAGCAGAAACCACATTTTGATGAAATGGATGATTTTAAAAAATAATTATTTGCCAAGATGTCGCTATATATTTCCAATCTTCAAAACTGTTTGCTTGAATCTCATGCTAAAATTAGGCAATGAGTCAATCAGGAGTGTTCTTCATTTTATCTAAGCCTTCTCACTGGTTGAGTAAGAGAGTAATAAAATAAAATAGAAACTAGGGATGGGCCTTAATTACCCAAGGGTTTCACATCAAGGAAAAAAGAAACACTGAAATTATTATTCCATTCTGGTAATGTGCCAAAGTAACAGTGAGATTGTTTCTTATTATTCCTACAATGAAATATTCTCTATTTGTATTTTGTGGTAGTTTTGACTTGTGGGTTTTATCACTGAATATATTGGCTCTCCACAAATATGACAGTATTAAATAATAATGATCTTAGTGATTAAATTGATTGCCTTATTGAAATTGAGATTGGGGAAAAATATTTCTTTATTCTCTGTTACTTCTGTGCCAAACCCAAGAGTTAATTAGTATGCTGTAGTAGTGGATGACTATTATTAATTTTTCCCATCCCAAGAATTAAAGGAACAACTACTTTCACCCTGGAGGAATTTTGAACATTGGGAGGGGCAGGAAACCATGCAACAATTATAAGTCTTCTAGTTCTTTACAATTTTTTTTTGGTTGAATGTTTTAACATTTTCTAAAATAAGAAAAAGGAATTATGTGGAAAAACAATCAATATTGAAAGCCTATTGTATGCATAATGTTAGTGTGGGGATTATCGCCAAATGTGTCAAAAACATAAGACAAAATGTACTGTTTATTTGCATTCATATTTAATATTCCCGTTGAGATTGCAGCTTAAAAGACTTGGCAAAAATAAAGACAGTTGTGTGATGATTAAATTAAAAAAAACATAATTTTGACATTCTTTTTTTTCCTTTTAGAAAACCAAGAATCAGGCAATTTTCCTATTTAAACCTCAAGCATTTAGTCTTCAGCGTATTTTTCATAGATTTTGTTCAGTGTCTATAGTGAAAGTCAATCAGATATTCCGTTTTGTAAAGATGATTTCTTAGTTAAACCTAACAAGCCTGAAGAAAAGTAGCCACACACAAACAGAATAAAAAATATAGACTCACAAACCCCAATTTTTGCAGTTTGTTAAAGGAGAAAACACATATAAAAACTTTAAGAAAAGGATAACAGTATCATCTCATCTATTTGGGAACCCCTTCTAATTTTTTTTTCTTTTTTGTGCTTATAAGATTTTGTGGCTCTATTTCTAATATGGTTGTTTATGGTATATGATGTTCTAATTGTGTCTACTTTGTAATGTGTTTTTTCATATTCATCTTTCCATGGTTCTTTGCCATTCTTCATATTTGTCATATTTGTTGTGGAGTGATATTCAATTACATTGATATAATTTGCTCTCCAAAATCATTGGATGTATAGGCTGTTTTCAACTTTTTGATATGACAAAAAAAATTACTACTTTCTACAAAAAAAAAAAGATAATCTCTTCCTATTCTTTAGTAACATCTTTAGGATACAGTCCTTGTCTTGGGATCACTGGATCAAAAAGACTAATCAAGTTTTCTAAATCTCATCATGTATTGACAGATGACTTTCCCCAAAATTTGCACCAGTTTGCAGCTCTACCAATGATATGATAGCATGGTTGTTTCTGTATCGCCCTACCAAAACTAGATTTTTGCGTTTCTAAACATATAATAATAAATGTAAGGTGATACTTCAAATCTGTTGTCTTAAATATGCATCCCTCTGATTATTAGAGACTTTGTGCAGTTATTCAGGGGATTAATAACAATATTTTTTTTGCCTTTGAGAAATGCCTTTCCTCTTTCTTCCCTCTCGTCCCCCCATGACTTCTCTTCAAGACTGGATTACTCTTTGTACTCTCTATATTCTTTTATCACTTACCAATTGGGGAAGGGATATCACACTTGTAAATCTGTATTGGTCCCCTATTGATTCTGTTGGGTTTATGTTTGTTTGTTTGCATTTACCACATAGGAAATAGTCCGGTATTTAACTTATAGAACCACAAGCTATGGCATTCTCATGATTCAATTAGTAGACGTGTTGTTCATGGTACAAGGAAAAGTACTAGACTGAAGACTAAGCAACTTGGCATATCCATAAAAATCTATGGTGACTTAAAAGACATCAGCCCAATGATCCACACAGGAAAACTCAAGTCAATGGAGAATTTCTCTTGCCTAAATTTTGAGACACAGTCAGAGAAATAGCCCATTGAGTTAGCTCATCTGTGTGTATATACATATGTATGTTTGCAGGTGGGTAAGTAGATGGTTAAAGAAGAGGGAGCACCCTGACTCATACTTTACAGAGAAAATAAACATTATTCTTTATGAACTCCTTTTTCTCCACAATTTTGTACCTCAGATCCCCTCAGCATGTATCCTACCCACTCCACCCCCCTTAAGTAGAATGTAAGCTACCTGAAGAAAAGGATTATTTTTTGGCTTTGTATCCCTACTGCATAGCATAATGTCTCACCTACAGAGCATAGGTCATAAATCTAGAGCTTGAAAGAGCCAGTCTAATCCAACCTAGTTATTTTAACTTATGAAGGGCTGAGAACACAAGAGGTTAAGTGACTTGCCCAGAGTCACACAGCTAGTAAATGTCTGAGGCAGGATTTCAACTCAGATCTTCCTGACTCCAAGACCCAGTAATTTATCCGCTCTACCACCCTTTACCACACTCTGCCTTTTGATCCTCACAACAGCCTTGCAAGGATAATACATGTTAGCTTTGCAAACTTTCAGACATGATATAAATGGAAGCGATTATCTTGGAGGGGCAAGCCTGAGTTACAAGAGACGTGGGTTTGAGGACTGGCTCTGTCATTTGCTACCCACCTATAAGCAAGTCATTTAATTTCCCTGGGCTTGGTTCCTTTTCTATGGTTTTTAGGGTTTGGGTTAGATGATTTCTAAGGTTCCTCTTAGAATCAAGTGCTGTCTTCTTCATGAGGCCTTAACTGATCCCAGAATCTCAGAAACGGGAGTTCTAGTGCCTTTCCTTCAAAAACTGCCTTGTATCTTTTTTTGCACATACAAGTAGATAGCTACACATATGTACTGTTTTTCTTATGTAGCAGAATGGAAACTTCTTGTGGGCAGGCAGTGTTCTTGATTGCTTTCTTTAGAATCCTTGGCACTCAGCACAGGGCACAAAACAGGGTAAGCCTTAATAAATTCTTGTTCATTTATCGATTGTTGATCAATGAATGTAAACCAGCTAAGTTATTTTAATTCATGGAGCATTAGCTTAAAGATATCAAGGGAAAACGTGGACTGCTTTCAACATGCATTGAACACACTGGTTGGATTGTGAACTCCCCTCTGTATTTTCCCATGTACTGTGGCTTGTTTGCTTGGGTCCTCTTTCCTAGCAGTGTGTGGGAACTTTTGGCTTTGAGAAATGATTCCAAAGCACAGCCAGTTCCAGGACCCAAAGCTCAGCAGTAAATAAACAAAATAGGAAGGTACATTTAGTAGTAGAACAATCAATGTAGTCTTAGGGGAGCACATTTACTGGAAACCTACTGGAAAAGGGATAGGAAACATCTTTGCTTTGAACCTGCTTTGTAAGCTCTATTGGAAAGGCTCAAATTCAGAAAATCCTCTAAAAACAAATTCCTTTACATAGATTCTATGTATATTAGTGAATTTTCAGTTACTTAAACTACATATTCTAGGTTCTAAATGGAAATGAATCCAGGACATTATTATTTTTATAGCATATAATTTTTAAATCCTGACCTTAAACACCAAATAAAATGAACATTTCCATATACTTAATGGAACAGAAAAGAAGTTTGTGTGTTAAACTCTGAATTCCTATTTTGTATAGCTTGCTTTTCTTTTAAATATATAATAAATTTAAATGTAACTTTCAAATCTGTTCTGTTTGTCTGTAATTCTTTCTGTCCTTCCTTCTTTTCTCTTCTGTAAATGTGAAAATACTTTGGCCACATAATGAGAAGACAGGATTAATTGGAGAAGACCCTGATGTTGGGAAAGACTGAAGGCAAAAGTAGAAGGGGATGGCAGAGGACGAGATGGTAGATAGTGTCATGGAAGCAATAAACATGAACTTGGACAGACTTTGGGAGATAGTGGAGAATAGAAGGGCTTGCATGCTTCATGGGGTCACGAAGAGTCAGACATGACTGACTGACTGAAAAACACAAAATGACTTTTTCTTCAGTGACTTTATTTTTCTCTGTCTCTGTATGTCTGTCTGTCTTGTCTTCCTAGGTTTCTCTGAAATTCTCATTCATCATTTCTTACAGTGTATCAGAAGGGTATGCCATTATATTCATATATTACAATATATTCAGCCATTCCCCAGTTACTGGGTGCTACCTTACTTTTTAGTTCTTCACTATGATAAAAAGAGCTGCTTTAAATATTTTTGTGCATATGGGTCTATGCCACTTTTACATCCTTTCTTTGCTCTCCCCCTTTCTCTAGGCTTTCTTCTTCTTCCTCTGTCTCCCCTTCAAGACTGGTCTGTTCTCTGTACTCTATATCCACATTGTGAACTTCCTGATGTCCCAGTCTCAGCCTTGCAGGAATGGGTAGAGACATTGAGTGTCTCACCTGGGTTCCTTACCTTTGCTTCCTTTTGCTGTGAAAGGCTGGTAGATGTCGCTTGGGCTGCCAGCTTGATCTCTCCCTGGCCATTGTAAGATGGCACATCAGTGAGAACAGGGACAAACGTGGTCTGGGAGGATGAGAAATACAGGTCAAAAAGGAAAATTGTAGTAGTTGGTTTGTACTCCTCTTCAAATGTTACCCATTTCCTATCCTATTTTCTTTATCATGTATCACAAACTCCCAATCCTTATTTTGACAAGTCATATAGTTTCTCAGCGTCCTCACTTTAAAAAAATTATATCAACATTTCCTGCTACATTCTTATGGGAGTATTATAATGCTGTACTCAATATTATGATACTGTACTTTTACTGAGTCCATGTGAGTATGAAATATGAAACAGCCTAAGAAAACACGACTCCCTTGATGCTGTAATCAATCACTAATCTTTTAAGCCCAAAGAAATAGTTATGATTTTTAACTTGACATAAGAAATCTCACCTCTCCACAGGTTGTGGATTTCACTTGCACTTCCATTGGTTTGAAAATTGGCTTTTCTTATTTGACTTCTCAGTGAAGAAGGTTTTCTATCGTAACACATATGCATTACTTTTTTGGCTGAGTAATACCAGTCAATGTCCATATAAGGGAAAAATAATGCACAGATTCTTAAAGTGGGCATCTGAGTGGCACAGTAGATAGAGCGCTAGAAGCAGAGCCAGAAAAACCTGGCTGTGAGACTTATTCCAAGTGTGAGCTGGCTTCTAGCTAGCGAAACATCTCAGGCAACTCATTACCTGCTGTTCTTCTGGTTTGTTTGTTGGACAAAAGGGCTTCAGAAGGCATTATTTTGTATCTTTCTTTAGGATGAATTTAGTGAACTATTGGTTAAATGTGTGTGTGTGTGTGTGTGTGTGTGTGTGTGTGTGTGTGTGTGTGTGTTGGGAGGAATGAGTTAGTGAGTTTTTGTTTTCCATTACTAGTCTTTTCATATTCCCACAGCTGTCTTGACTTTAAATACTCTTGACTAAGCTATCACCAGGTGGGCTAGTCAAAGCTCTTCTCCCTGCATTGGCACTTTAGTTATCTGCATCTTTTTGTCTACTTTAATTCTGTTTCTGAGTGCTTGATCATTGTAATAACAATAATTCATATTAACAATAGCTAACATTTATATAGTGCTTTGGGGCAGCCAGGTGGAGTAACGCATAGAGTGCCAGACCTGGAGTAAAGAAATCTCATCTTCCTGGGTTCACATCTGGCATCAGACACTTACTAGCTGTGTGACCCTGTGCAAGTCACTTAACCCTGTTTGCCTCAGTTTCCTCATCTATAAAATGAGCTGGGGAAGGAAATGGCAAACCATTACAGTATCTTTGCCAGGAAAACCCCAAATGGGATCATGAGTAGTTGGACACAACTGAAATGAGTGAACAATGACAATATAGTACTTTAAGGTTCATCAAACACTTTACAACTATTATTTTATACTCACGACAATCCTGAGAGGTAAATTCCCATGTTACAGATGAGGAAACTGAAGCAGGCAGGGGGTAGATGACTTGGTGAAAGTCACACAGCTAGTGTATGAGGCCGGACTTGAACACAGTTCTTCTTGATTTTAGGTTTGGCACACTACCCACTGGATCACCTAGCTGCCACCCTGTAGCACTCTAATGCATTGTTATGTTTATATCTCTTAACCCCCAACCTCTCACCCTCATTTTGGTCTTTACTATCCCAAGGGGCTCTAGGCAATGGGGGGAGTAGTTCTGAGAGGTCACTTTATCAGCCAATGATGGGAACCCTTTTCCTTATCACTCTATTCTTCTGCCATTTTTATTCTTCAGAAAAAATTTTGCTTTATACATGCTCTCAAGGCTTAATTCATCTATGAAACCTTCCCAGACTGCCTCAGCCCTCACCTGTTAACAACTCCTATCACCTATTATAGGTACCATTCATTTAACACTTATCCTAAACCACCTTGCATGATCATTCACCTTTTTGACATGCATCTCTCATTTATTCAGAGGCTGTAATCTTCTTGTGGGCAGGGGATAGGTCTTATCTCTCTCTGCATCCTCATCACCTACCTAGCACAGTCCCTTATACTCTGTTGATACCCAATATAAGTTTATTAATGATGTTGACTATTGAAGGAGAGACAACAGCCTACATTAACAGTCTCTTTTTACCAATATTCGATGTCCATGCCAAGTCTGTGCCAACATATATATGGAGGTGGTGGGTAGAAATGACCAGAGAACTTTACATTCTAGAACCTCTGCCTTCTAATTGTCTCCCTGAGATGCATCGTAAGTTCATAGTAGTGCTGTTTGAGCATGGGCTGGGTGTAACGTGGAGGGGAAGGACACAAAAAGGAGAAAAAAAAGGAAAAGGAAAAGGCAGACAAACTTCTCTCAGTAGTAATAAGAAGCATGGGAATTTTCTTACATTAGTACTTAAATGGAACAGGGAGCTCATCAATGTGGTTTTCCATGTACCTTCTTGCCTTATACAATACTCATCTTTGTCTTTGCCCTTGCTCTCAATACATGATGTGGCCATGGGTAATCTTATGCATAGTTCAATCATAAGGGTTAAATCTGTTCCTTCTCCCTCTCCCCCAACACTGTCTTAAGGATTATAATAATCCAGCAGGGGAAAAATAAATACCATGAAAAGTTGATTCTCTACCAGTTGAGAAGTTTGGTGCATTCCATTTGAATACTTGAAGTTATAGCTTTTGGAATGTATTGGCCAAGTCAAATTAATTAATTGCCTTATAAAAATGCACCATTCCTGGAAGAAAACTCAGATTACTACTTACATCTGCAAGAAGATTCCAAATAAGGTAACACAAGTGGAAAGATTTCCATTGATATACTACACAGCAATTGTTCATGTCCATTTCTTAATCTTTCTGGATAGCTTTGGGCCCTGGTCCCAAGACCGTGACATTTACAAAGAAATATAGCTATATATGGTCATGTCCAGGACTGCCTTCTTCATTAAGGGTCTCAATTCCTTGTCTGTGGTCTCACTAGTAAGCATTTCTCCTTCATGGAGTCCTTGTTTATCCAGATATCTGACTCTATTGAAGGCAATGGTCATGTTGACAAGAACAATTTTATAGAACAAAAGACAGAGACTTTCCTTACTTCTTATTAAAGACCCTCTTCCATCCAATAGTTCAGGAGAGCTTGAGTCCCAAAACATTATTCCTAGCCCATGACATTCATCAATTAATTTCAACCTCCAAACTTTGCATTTTCTTGGCTTCTTAATTCCAACATGGTATTGGCCAGGTGAATACACATCACACTGCACGCCTAATATGTGTTTCATTGGAAGCATATTTCCCCCTGTCCTTAGCTTTTCCCCGTCCCCCTGCTCACCTGGCCGTAATACTTAAAATCATAGGATCATAAATTGAGAGCTGCAAGGAACCTTAGTGGCAGCCATTCGGACAATGCCCTCATTTTACGGATGAGGAAACTGAGATATAGAGAGTTTAAGCGACTTGCCCAGTTTCACACTTACGCTTCTGGAAGACAGTGACAATATCATTTTTATGTTTATATCCTCAGAGACTAACACGATGCTTAATAAACATGTTGAGTGATTGATGGATGACTACTAGTTCTCAATGTGCCATGAACACTCCTGCATCTCTATCTTTGCCTTCAGTTTTCCCCTTACCCGTTTCTGCTTGCCTAAGTCCTAACTTTTCTCAAGGCCCAGTTCAAGTTAGGCCTCTGTGAGCCATTCCTGGGCTCCCATAGCTCTTGGCATTTGTGCCCACCTTCGAACTCTTCTAATGGTTTCCGTCTCTGATTTCCATTTGGAATTTATTTTAGAATATGTCACCCTATAGGCTATCTTTTGATATCTTTTCCGTTTGTCTCCCACTTCTCTGACTAGATTGTACACTCATCAACAGCACAGGCCATATTTTAAAACCATTGGTGTCCCCAGCACCCATCACATTTGCCCTTGTAAAGGAGGAAATCTGTAAATATTCACCATGGGTGATGAGATGGAAGGAGAGCTGAATTACTTTGAGAGCTGGTAGAAGTTAAGATGGGGGCAGGAGGAAGGGATGAGTTTGTGCCTGAATCATCTAAAAATTTTACATCAAAGCATAGGTGATTTCAAAAAAAAGAGGCTTAATTTGGGGGTTTCAATCATTGATGTTTATATCAGATCATAAATTTAGAACCAGAGGGAACATTGAAGGTCATCTGATCTAAATCCTTAATTTTATAATTGAGGAAACTCAAACCTAGAGAGGATTAGTGACTTGATCAAGGTCACACACGCAGGAAGTAACAGTGAGATTTTAATTCAAGTGTTCTGTCTCTTAACGCAACACTGTTTCCTGGGTGCTCCCCCCCCCCAATTGCAACATTGCTAACATTACTGGGTTTTTAAAAAATTTTTGCACCTTTGTTTTACAAAGCATGTTTTCAAAACGACTATTTATTCTTCTTACTTCCTTTTGGAGTTCTTCATGGCAGACACTGCGAACAAGTCTGCAATGCTTGAATATGAAGTAAAAATTTGTGCTTTAGGAGAACTCTTTTTATTGAATGACAGATAAAAATAAGTAACTTTCTGACCGCATTCTGTATCTTAAAATTTCAGGATGCCAGTTTTATCTTTCCCACATAAAATGCAAAATCAAATAATTATGCTTGTTTTTTTCTTCAATCAATAAAGATAATTACTCACTGTGAATAGCCCCATGCTGATTTCCAAACAGTTACCACTTCAGGCTTTCTGAAGGAGATAATTATTTTTGTTTGAATGGCTTTGAGTAGGAGGCTGAAGTTGGAGTAATAACTAACAACCCTTTCCATCTATGTCTTCAGATGCATCGGGGCTAAAATCTATTTGGAAAATTTTAAAAATAGTGCAGATTTCTCTTTTAAATGAGAGGAGTTAGTATAGTCCAGTGGAGAGGATGTGAGACTTGAATCGGTAGCCTTGGGTTCAAATTCTGACTGTACCACTTCCAGGATGATCTTTAGTAAATTGCTTCACTTCCTCGGGCCTTAGTTTACTCTTTTATAAAGCCAGGCATTAGATTAGATCACCTCCAAGAGGCCCCTGCTTGCTCTA